GAGGCTGAGGCAGGAGACTTGCTTGAGCCCAGGAGTTGGAGGTTGCTGTGAGCATGATGCCATGGCACTCTACCCAGGGGGATAGCTTGAGGCTCTGTCTCGGGAAAAAAAAAAAAAAAGAAAAGAAAAAAGAAAGAGAAATTTATTGCTTTGCCAGTGATGGAGGAAATATGGCAGTTTGTTTGTCTCAAAATATCTATTCTTCTTGCACATAAGCAGAAACCCATAGCTTTTAAAAGGAGCGACCTGTGTTCGCTTTGGCAGCACATACATTTAAATTGGGATGATACAGAGATTATTAGCAAGGCCCCTGTGCAAGGATGATGACACACATATCCGCAAAGCATTCCATATTTGGGGGGAAAACATTGTACTTAGTAAGTTGCAGGAAGACGAGTTCATTGGGAGAGAATGAACACTCAAACACTGTGTTTAAAAGAGGAAGAGCTTTATTGCATCCAGCAGAGCGACAGCACAGAATTCAAAGCGGCCACACTCCCCAACTGGCTCAGTCTTCTTTTTATCCCCAGTCAAAAAGCTTTGGCCTATGGGTACTTTTCTCATTTGTCAGTTTGAATCAAGCTGGAGAAGCTGGCTCCAGCTGTTACAGAACGGAGGCCTGAAGCAAGCGTTAGTTTCCAGGTTCCAGGAAGTTAAGTTTCTACAAATTCCTAAGAGCTGAGTCACCATGGGGAGGACCTTGCAGGGGTCCTTGGGGTCTCCCTGAGAAGACCTCTGTTTTCTTAGACCTTACTTTTTCCGGTATCCTCTCTCATTCCCCTCTTTTGAGACTCCATATATATTTTAATTTGGGGTCTCACTATTGCTCTGGCAGGAGCCTGTAGTGTTTCATATAGAAGAACAGTGTGATACGGTTTTTTTTCCCCCCAAATAACATCTTTCCTAATTATCCAGTATATAGCCCTGATTACTAGTGGGAGGAGATAGGAAATAATTAAGCTAACTCTGATGATGCCTAGTACTCCTCCTAGTAGGTTTTGGCCGGGGCTGGGTTTGAACCCACCACCTCCCATATATGGGGCTGGTGACTTACTCCTCTGAGCCACAGGCACAACCCAACTAGTAGGGTTTTTAAAACCAGTCTCTTCACAGGTTTGTTTTTTTTTTTTTTTTTGAGACAGTCTCAAGCTGTCACTCTGGGTAGAGTGCCATGGTGTCATAGCTTGCAGCAACCTCCAACTTGGGCTCAAGCAATTTTCTTGCCTCAATTTTTCTATTTTTAGTAGAGATGGGGTCTTGCTTTTGCTTAGGCTGCTCTCAAACTCATGAGCTCAAGCAATCCACCCACCGCAGCCTCCCAGAGTGCTAGGATTATAGCCATGAACCACCCTGCCTGGCCTCTTCATAGGTTTTGAGGGCTGCACTGGGACACGGGCCAATGTCTGGGTTTTTCTTTACTATGTTTCATATGACTTTTACTTGGTTATTAATTTGCGAGACTAGCTCCAGGGGTTACACTGATCCTATGGAGCAATCTGTCTCCACTACTCTTCTTTTTAAGCGTGATAATTTCTTTCGCTGCAGTCCTCACTGTCTCAGATGCCTTCTAGCATATATTTTCACCTTTTACATTTGACCTCTGTCCTATAATTTCTTTCCCAGCTTCTTCCACTGCAGCACCCTTCATGTAGCACTGCAGGCATCAAACTTTGAAGTTACCGGGCTGGTCTTTCCTATTTCCCTGGTCTAGACCAGCATTCAGATTTCAGGGACTATGACTCCTCTCAGGTCCTCTACCCAGGCCTTAATTGTACTGTGGGTGGGGGGCTCAATGGGGTTGTAATTTACATATGGGTTTTCACCTTTTTCCATGTCACATATTGAGTATTGTATCAGAATCTGAGTGCAAGTTCCCTTGTGGGTGCCTACACATTTGTAAAAGCTAGAAAAGAGTCACCTTTTGTCTTATCTTAGTTGTGACATATGGGTTTTCACCTTTCTCTGTGTCACGTATTGAGTATTGTAGTAGAATATGAGTGCAAGTTCCCTTGTGGGTGCCAACACATTCATAAAAGCTATAAAAGATTCACCTTTTGTCCTATCTTAGTTGTGTGGGTGCACAGATCATATTCCTCCTCCTCCTTTTCCAAAGTCCAAAGACCAATTGAGACAAGTCATGCGAGGAATTTCCTCAGTCTTCAGCTGTGCATTGACCAGCCAGCTCCCACTATGTGGCTGGAGCAGGGCATGTTGATTGCCTCAAAAGTTACCTTGCAGGGGTTGACTGGATCTGTGTTAGTTGCATGCCACACAATGCTGGCTGACTTTCTTGGCAAGGGTGGCCAAGAAGGGAATGTAGAAGTATTTCCCTAGAAGCTTCTTAACTTTTTTTCTTCTATCCTAAGTGCATGCCTTATGCATACAACCTCTATAACCAACCTCAGATTTTTACACAGTAAGCTTTGATATTCGGTGAGGCATGAGTTGGTTGACCAATAGTGCTCTTTGGTGCTCCTAAGAGTGACCACTGCATATGGTACCCAGACTCTTGAGTTTTGTCCCAAAGTCAGCTTATCAGTCTCTTCCACCAGCATGGCAGTGTCTGCAAGTGTTTTTAGGCATGGGGTCATCCTTCTGAGACTCCATCTCTTAGAGAGATAAGCAACTCATCTTACCCAGGGTTCTATATTCTGGGTGAGCATTCCCTCAGCTGTTCTATTTCTTTCTGATATGTTCATTCAAAAGGTTTGGTCAGGTCGGGGAGGCCTAGCACCAGAGCTGCCTGCAGTTTTTCCTTTAGCCTCTTGAA